TTTATCATGATTACTCATAGATTTGTAAAAATTTGGGCTTTAATTAAAAAATTTATAAATTAAAATAAAAATATTTTAATTTAATTTTAAAAAATAACAATAAATTGAAATTAAATTAAAAATGTTTGAATGAATTTTTATTACTTTGAAAGTCTCACTTTAATTGCTTCTAATTCTTTTAAATCTTCTTCATTTGAAAGTAAATTTTTTACATTTTCTATCATTTTTGTTGTCATTGAATTTCTACTTAAAGATTCAACTGCTTCATTTATTTCTGCCTCATTAAACATTTTATCTGGATAAATGGCCAATAAATCAGCTGAAAAATCTGTAAAGTTATTAAGAAACTTATTTAAATCACTTCCTTTGACCCACCCGTCTTTATTATTAGTTTTGTAAAAATTTTTACTTTTCTTAAGATTCTCATTAACTCTCTTTGTTGAATTAGCTAATACTTCAACTGATTTTAATATTTGGTTGATCCAAGTAATAAAAGTTGGGTTAAAAGGCTTATTAAATGATTTAGTTTTTAAAATTGTATTTAGAATTTCTAACGATTCATCATCAACAGTGTTAGTTTTAAGTGATTCTAAGTACCTATCAAGACATATTGAGAGTTGTTCAAAGTTCATTAGATCTTGACTTTTTAAAGCTGCTTTATTCTTTTCTAGCACATTTACATCTACAAGTTTATCTATATTAATACTCTCGACTAGAAATTTAGTTTTAGGAATATCATTCTCACTCTTTAACATACAAGCCTTCTCAAACCCAGCAAGTAAACTGATTAACGAATTAACAGCACAAGTACTTTCTAATATTCGTACATGTGATTCATTAAGTTCCTCTATAGAGTCAATTAAAGCAATAAAATTATTATAAACTTTATCTGTTGATACTTTTAAATCTTTTGAATTAAGATTATACTTTTCTTCCATTTCCTTATATGTATTTATTGCTCTATCATATTCTTTATGATTAAAAGATATTGATTTTACTTTGTCCTTAAAATATTTCTTCTTAATTACCATAGCTGATTTTCTGTAAAACTCAATTACGTATGTTATAATACATTGTTCATCAGGACCATCAATATCTAACAAATCATTAATGTCTAATATTGTTTCAATATCAAATAATGATTTAGCTTTATTAAATGCATAATTCAATCTGTCTGGTACTGACATACCGAGAGTTGACTTATAATCTGTGTTATCTGGATCGAGGAAATGTATTATAGCATTAAATGCTAGCCCATCTTTAAAAGATTTAGAAAAGTCTTTAATTAAAACTCTCTCATAATCCTTAGTGACTTCTTGACACCAATGTAACAGCTTATTTCTAAATTCTCCTTGTTCAATTGCTGATCCAATTATTGATCCATGATGCAATATGAGGGTAAAAATTAGTCCCAATATTAACTTCTTATTTTTGTCAACTATATCTTCAGCACCAATATTTACTAAACGAATCTCATTCTTAGACAAGTACTTAAGTATCAGGTATAAATTCTCAACTTTCTGCACTCTCATTTTTGGAACCTCAGTAATACTAGGTGGTGTCATACCAATTGAACACAAATAATCTCTAAGAACTTTACCATTATCTAAATCTTCATATAAATTAGTTACAATTGGAAAGTTATGTGTTGCTAATTTATTATTCAACCATTTAGTAAATGTTTTCTTTTGTGTTTCCATCACCCGGTTTCTGCTCTCTGTGTCTTTATTATTTTGCATAACGTATGGGCAAATAATTTTATTTATTTATTTACTTTTAATTAAGAGTTTATTTATTTAAGGTTAATTGAATTATATGAAATTGGATAAAATTTCTATTAGTTTTTCTCCACAACACAATGTTACTGATGAACATAACATTATAAAAAAAACAAACGACCAATAATGTAAAGTTAATCCATAATATTTCATCTCATAAACAATATCAACATCACTAATTGGTCTTTCACTGAAATAAACTGTTTCATCAATTAATTCATAAACCATTAACTCTTTCTCAATTAATGAATATAATGTATAGCCTTTAAATGATATTTTAATAGAATTGTAATTAATACAATTATTGGATTCAATTATTGTATTATTTACTATTAACTTATCAAATTCATTTGTATATATCTGAATGTTGTCACTTAATATTTCATTTAAGTAAAAAAATACTGTTAATAGCATTTATGCTATTAAAAAATAAAATTATTTAAGAATAAAAATTAAACATAGAAATTATTTATCATAAATTAATAAAACATATTGGGAAATTAAAGAAAAACTATTGAATTGATTAAAAACTCCTTTATTTATATAAATTTATCTTTTGTTTAACCCCTTAAAAATGCCACGAGGAAGACCAAGAAAATATCCAAGAAAAATAGAAACAAAAGTGGAATATTCAGTATCGTTGGCTATACATTACGAGAGGATGCTAGTAGCAATAAATGTAATGTTGGGTGAAAAAGAGAAAGTTTTGACAAGTGAGGAAGAAGAATTTGTTCCCAAATACAAAGAAGTAATAAATGATATTTTTTCTCAAAATATCACTAATGAGCAACTTAAAAACTTAGAATATGGTATTGAAGGAGTATTAGCAATGTCACATGAGTTTAGTAGCAAATCAAACTGTATTTTTGCTAATTTTCTAACATTTCTTGAGAGATTTGTCAGATCATGTGATAAGCGTAGAACATTAAGAGAAAACTTTAAAGATATGTTTTCTAAACTCAAGTCAACCCAAAGTAATGAAAAGTATTTTGATAGTTTCTATAAAAGGATTTTTTTGTCAAATGAAAATCAAATTAGTGATTTTTATGGACTAACTTTATATTATTTCATTATTTCAACTGGAATGAAAGATGACCCATTTATTAAATATTGTGGTAAGAAGTTAGTTATTCATTATTTAGTTGATATATTAAATTCGTATAAAGGTGTAAATTCATTGGGTGAAATATCAGATGAGGATTTTAATTATATAGTGGATACGTTTTCCTCGAAAGTCAACACCTTCAATGGGCTTATTTATTTTGAGTATATTAATAAGACTAATTTAGACAAAGTTGTATTTATTTATATAGCTTTACTTATTAGAAGAAAAAGACTAGCATATATTGATGAATTTTCAGAAGGAATGTTGATGTATTGTATAATCAACTATGTGGTTGAATTAGATTTTAATGTTAAAGCATGTTTAGAATTATTCATAAAGTATGATTTAAGATCAGAGCTTCTTTTCAAAGGGAAAAAAATAGAAAATTACGAATATTTGATGAAAGAGTTTAGAAAGGAAATTCAGTTGCAATTTATTGATATTGAAAAAGAAATATCACCATATGTTTATCCTCATTATACTTATGAGGCTAAATTTAACATTAATCAATCAGTTAAGCCATCTAATGGAATTACATTTGAGTACATTTCAGTTAATAATTCAGCAAGAACAAGTAATCAATCATTAAATGAAGTTAATACTCCATTTGAAAGCAAAAGAATAGAAAAAGTGGATAAAAAGCATGAAATAAATTACAATGATAGAGGAAGGCATATGCGATCTCAACGAAAACTTATTTTTAATTAAAAAAGTTACTTAATGTTTTATTTAGAATAACAAAAAATTTACCTTACAGGATCCTTTTATGTTT